TTCCGGCTCTCCGGTCGTCCGCGCGGACGGCGGGTGCGGCCTCACCGCCGGGCGCGCTCTCCGCCTTCGCAGACGCGTCCCCGCGGCCGGTCCCGGAGGGGAGCCGCGAGGACCGCGTCACCCGAGCCGCCTCGCGGGACTCCGGGCACGGGCGCCTGCCTGGGCCGGCTCTGCCCGGGCCGTGGGAGTCCCCCGCAAACGACCCGCCGCGCCCACCCGCTCCTGCCAGACCCCACTCAGCCCCTCTGAAGTGATGGCGTAGCTGGTGCGGGCGGCTCCATGGCAACGCAAGGCTGCGTCGCGGCGGGAGCTCCGCCCCAGCCCGTGCTCGCGATGGTTCGGCCAGCGGCACCACCTCCCGCGCAGGCGCGGTGTGTGAGCGCGGCCCTCCCGCGCAGGCGCAGTGTGAAAGCGCAGCTCTCCCGCGCAGGCGCAGTGTGTGAGCGCGTCCCTCCGGGTGGGAGCCGGGAGTCGCGGCCTGGGGCGCCGGCCCCGTGAGGGACGCCGGTGCGGACCGCGCGGGTTTTAGTTTGGGTTAATCGTCAACCTAACAAACTAGGAGCGTCCCCGTAAAAGGCGGGGTTTCCCACTTCTTTTTCGGAAATGGAAGGTTGGGCCGAGGCTCTGGGTTCCGGCGCCGGGCCGTGTGCGCGGGGAGACGCGGGCCGGGCGGGAGCGGGAGGCCGGAGCGAGACCCTGTCCCCAAAAAACCTTTTTTCCCCGGCATATCCGGGAGTGAACTATTCAACTTCTCAAAAACAAAAAACCCCAAATGGCAACTGCGGGAACATCTGTGCGGAGGCCGCGACGCCACCCGCCCCTGCACGTCCCCTCGGTGGCGCCGGGCGTTCCCTTGGCGGAGGTCCGGGCTCGGGTCGCTGCAGCAGCCCGCCGTATATTCCTTTCCTCCGTCCACGCAAACCAGGGGTCGCTTTCTCCTCAGCCTTGCTTCTCTGGACCTTCCCGTGCTAATGACTTTCTTTCGACCAGAGGGAAGGACAGTGAGAGACTGAGAACAGCCCCCTGTGCACCGTGGGGACCGGCTCAGAAAGCGGTGGCCCAACCCTGGGTGGGGGAGAAGGACTTTCTGTGTTCTGCTGCGGAGCGACCTCCAGAGCACATCGCGAAGTAAAAAAAGGATGCACAACAGACTAGTATTTTGTCTAAGAAGGGGTAGAGGCAGTGAGAATATACATGCATACTTTCTTACATTAAAAAGTAACAAAAATGGTTACCACCCAGGGGCAGGAGGGAACAGGAATAGAAACTAGATTTCTCTAAATGTGCTTATATTTGGCTACGAAACTGTAATTATGAAACCAAAAATAAAATAGAAAAAAAATCGGAAAATTGGAAACAGAATGAAACAAATGAACCTAACAGCATATCAAGGCTTAACCATACAGAAAAGAATCTCAAGTGGCTTTTTAAAAATTATTTTATTTGTTTACTGAGACAGGCTCTTACTCTGTCACCCAGGCTGGAGTGCAGTGGAGTCATCATAGCTCACTGTAATCTCAAATTCTTGGGCTCAAGTGATCCTCCTGCTTTGGCCTCCTGAGTAGCTGGGACTACAGACAAGTGCCACCACTCCCAGCTGATTTTTAAATTTTTTATGGAGATGGGGTCTCACTATGTTGCCCAGGCTGGTCCTGAACTCCTGGCCTCGAGCGATTCTCCTGTCTTGGCCTCCTAAACTGCTGGGATTACAGGTGTGAGCCACCATGCCTGGCCTCAAATGACTTTAAAACCCAACAATTTGTTCATACCTAGTAGACTATATCCTAAGGACAAAAAGAACTGTGAAGAAATCTTAAGTTGTTTGCAGTAATCAAAGTAGTATTGATATTGCTATTCTAAAAGTATTATATGAAGTGGGATAAAACAAATAGTACAGTAATATTAGGAACTAATATTTTCAGCTTGAGAGAAGAAATACAAA